CTCCCAAGTCTACGTATATTTTTAAACACACTGTAAACATTTAGAGGTTTTTTTTAACCTCTGAATCTGTCTTTACTGTATATCTTTTTCTGACCACATGAATCTTTTATATGCTAAACAGCATTGCTAAAATTAAAGCGGCAGTTGGCCCCATTCTATTCCTTGGCTTTCTGAGAGTCTAGCTTCATGCTTATTGTCACAACTCCGTGGAGTTTCTAGGTTCATGCTACCACAAAGAAGCATACTGCTGGCTGCTCATAAACACCATTTAATTGTTTGCTAGCAGAGCCTTTTAAAGAGCCCTGCGCATTTTGCTGCTAATGCTGAGTCAGGAAGCCTCTCTTAAAGGAGCCACAAGCCTCAGCTTGTCTCTAGCAAATAGAGCCCACCTGAAAAAAATGCTGCTACCAAGAAGCTGTGCTTGCCTCTGTTCTTTTGTTTTTAGAACCCCTTTTTAAGCTTTTGTCAGGTATTACTTGGACATTCTTGCACCATTTGAAGATGGAGGTGTCTGTCCCACCAGGTCCCACCACCCTTCAGCCCCAAATAAACACACAGAGACATATTATTAAACTATTGGCCAATGACTAGGGCTTCTTAATGGCTAGCTGTCTCTTAATTATTAACCCATTTCTATTAATCTAAGTATTTCCACATGGTCTTATCTTGCTGGAGAAGGGTCCACTCCTGTTATCCCTTCCTCCACTACATGGCATTTCCTTTTTTAGCCTCCTTCTTCCCAGCCTGCTCCTGGTCTGGTCGCTCCGCCTATGTTTTCTGCCTGGCTATTGGCCAAACAGTATTTTATTCATCAACCAATAAGAGAAACATATATACAGAAGGACACCCCCCATCAACTAACCCTGGCCCAGAACAAACAAACTTTGATTTAGGAAGCAGGCTGCCTAGTGAGATTCCTGGCTCACTGTTGTGCAGTGTTGGTAGAGGGCTACTCTCCCTCCTGAACTGCCCCTAGGAGCACTTTCCTTGATGTCGCACCTGCACTGAGCTCTCCAGAGATACCTTCACAGGTACTCAGGTTGTTCCCACCAGCTGTCTCCGGCCTGCAGCTGGTCTCCACCTGTACATCAGGCCTCAGGCCACAGCTGCTGGGAAGGCGGGGCTCTGGGGCTTCCTGTGGCTGAGGAGAGATGAAGTGTTGCATCTTTACCTTGGCTTGTGTACACCTTTGTCTCCACATCTGAGAATCCCAGGAGCTTTCACTGACCGGATTCGGTAGTTGACACCTTGGTTCATGGCTTGTTCTACTGTGTCTTCTATCTGTACCTTGAAGAAGCTTCCCAGCATTCCTTCAGGGCTTCCTTGGGTAGACTGCACCAGCTAACTATTCAGGGAGGTTGGGAACACTGTCTCCTATCTGAGTCTTACCCTGCAGCTGTGGTGGCCCTTTTCCTGTCTCAGCATGGAGTCCTACAAGTCAAATAAGTATCCTCAGGCCTCCATAACGAGGGTGTTCTTTCTGGGGCTCACTCCTTCAGCATTAAGAATCCACTTTTGTGTCAGGCATTGGTGGCACACACCTTTAGTCCCAGCACTCGGGAGGCAGAGGAAGTCGGATCTTTGAGTTCCAGGACAACTTGGTCTACACAGTGAGTGAGTTCCAGAACAGCCAGAGCTACACAGAATCCTGTCTCGGTCAAAAAAAAGCACTTGCCTCAGTAGAGGATTAGTTCTAACTAATTTTCTCCTACTGGGGCTGTCACCATCCAGCTGTTGGGCTCTGCGTGTACTGACAACTGTGGAAAGGTGATTTAAATGCAGGCAGCTGTAGCTGTGCTTGTAACTGGCTTGCGAGCCTGCAGTGGATACCTTAGAGATCCAAGGCATGTCCAGGGTTGCTCCCCAGTAGTTCAGAAAGCCTGGTGGGTGTTTGTGTGTCATGATCAACACTTCTGGGGCTGGGGTAGGCCTCAGTTGGTCTAATGTCTAGCATGAGTGAAGCCTTGGAATTAATCACCAGCACCACACAGATCAGGAGTGGTGGCTCATACCCACAGTCCAAGCATTCAGGAGGACCAGAAGTTCTAGGTCATTCTCAGTTAAATAGTGACTTTGGAGCTAGCCTAGGCTACATGAGGTCCTTCCTGTCTCAAAACCTATAGGAAGGAAAGAAGTAGAGCTTCGTAGAAGTCCCCATACCTTGAGAGGGCCAATCCCGGGTGTCAATGTGGAGGCCAACCTCGAGTTGTTACTCTACAACTAGTGCTCTCCACTGAGCAGCTCCAGGGGAGGCAGGGGCTTGGTGCAGACAGGCAGGGGAAAAGAAGCTATGCTGAGGTGTTCCGACCTCACCTGGGGTCCCTACCCACAGTGGTGTTCTCACTGGCCTTTCTAGGTGGGTACTGCCTGTGTCCCGTGGGTGGAATGTCAAGTCTGGAGTCATATAGTTAACATCAGAAAAGATTTGACTGTTTGCTGTGTGCTGACTGGTAGTTAGCAAACAGTGAGATGATTAACAAGCCAGTGAGGCCACAGCGCTAGGCATGGCTCAGTCGGTAGAATACATGCTAAGCATGCACAAAGCCTTGGGTTCCATCCCTGCACCACATAAAACCAGGGAGAGTGGTGGATACCCCAAGTCCCAATACTCCAGGAGTGAGGCAGGAGGATCAAAGGTTTGAAGTCATTCTTGTTTATGTAGCAAGTTTGCATCTAGTCTGGGCTACATGAGTCTCAGTTTCTAAAAACAATCCAGAAAATCACTTAAGTCCCTGGATACAACAGCCGTTCAACAACCAACAGTATCTGCAGACATCATCAAATGTTCTCTATAGGCAGACGTCTGCTCTCCACACACTGCACACACAGTGCAGACTTTGGAGAGAGCTCAGTTGTACCAGAGGAGAGGGGAATTTTCGGGAGCTTCCAGAAGGAAAGGGCAGAGGGCGGTGCTGGGGAGGTTCTCCCTGTTGTTGGGCATGTAGTCAGAGCTGAGTGGGAAGGGAAGGAGAAGGGATGCTGGAGAGGGGAGAGGGAAGGGGTGTAATCAGAGAGGGGTAGGAGGCATAAAGGTGACTGATTGGTGAAGGTCCCTTGGCCCAATGTGGCAGGCAGGAGAGCCTGAGGAAGACTTCTTACTGGGAGTGATAAGTTTTATTGGAGGAACTAGAAGGGCTGATTTTAGAGATTTGTATTTGGGGTGTGTGTATTTAGCAACTCCATGTTCTCACTTGACCCAGCTGACTGCCTCCCTGCCGTCCTGCCACCTTTAGTGTGGGAGATGATCTCAGACTTGTTTCTGAACTGCTTAGTAAGCTCATAATAGGAATAGGTAATTTATTCAGTTAAGGATTAAAATGTGAAGACTACAAGGAGTATAGAGTAACCTGCTTGCCTTGTACTTGCAAGGTCCTGGGTTCAGACCCCAGCACCGCAAAAACTGTCAACACATGCATAGTCATGAGGCCTTTAGAAGTGAGGCTTGGCCAGGCAGTGATGGAGCACACCTTTAATTCCAGCCCTTGGAGACAAAGGGAGGAAAATCTCTTGAGTTCAGGGTCAGCCTGGTCTACAAAGTGAGTTCTAGGACAGCCATGTATACACAGAGAAACCCTGTCTTGGGAAGAAAAAAAAGAAAGAAAGAAAGAAAGAAAGAAAGAAAGAAAGAAAGAAAGAAAGAAAGAAAGAAAGAAAGAAAGAAAGTGAGGGGTGGGGCAGCTTTCAAGAGTTGGTTCTTTCCTTCCACATGTGGATCAAACTCAGGTTGTCAGACTAAGGCTTGGTAGCAAGCATCTTTATCTGCAGAGAAATGGAGGGAGGGAGGGAGGGAGGGAGAAGGAAGGAAGGAAGGAAGGAAGGAAGGAAGGAAGGAAGGAAAGGGGCTTGATATCCACAAGGTGGGATCTGTGGTCTATAACTAGGCAGAGGGAAGCAGTCAGTACCAGAGTCACTGGTATCGGTGGTGGCTCCCAAGAGTCACTCCTTATTCATTTGTCAAGTGCTGATTGGTGTCTCTGGATGCCCAGGGTTGGGACATGAGAGTGACATACTTTCAAAAGCTCCTTAAGGAGATAGAGTCCCACTGTGTCCCTCACTGGCTTCAGGAATTGATGACACTTGATAGACTTGGTTCCTTTCTTTCCTTTGCTTAGGTTTTCTCTCAGGTCTGTTTTATTCCACCCTCTTCTCTTTCTTTTCCTTTGCAAACTGAGGTGCTAGGCAAACACTCTGCCATTTAGCTACTGTCTCACCAATACGTAAAATACCCACCCACGTCTAACAGAGGGATTTAAGAAATAAACACAGCACACAAACAAATAATCAGCAGGAATCGCCGACACCAGTTAAGCCTATACTTATATTTCTTAACGTCTCAGTTCTCTTCCACATTTGGTTTGTGTTGTCATACATGTGCCTCATGTTGTATTTCTTATTCCTCTGTATTCCTCATATTTAATCTGGCAATGCCAGCCCAGTAGTGGGGAAAACGATGATGTATATTTGCATACCACAGCAAGTTAGATGGGACTATGACTGTCAATAAAGGACATGGTGAACTGGCCTGGGACAGGATGAAGGGGTGAGGTGAAAGGGAATTGTAAATCTTTTTCTTTTTTAAAACTATATTTATTTTATGTGCTTTGGTGTTTTGCCTGCATATATGTCTGTGTGAGGGAGCCAAACCCCCTAGAATTGGAGTTAAAGACAGTTAATGAGCTGCCATGTGGGTGCTGGGAATTGAACCTGGATACTCTGGAAGAGAAGCCAGTGCTCTTAACCACTAAACCATCTCTCCAGCCCCTGTAATTTTTTTTCGTTTTCTTTTCCAAGACAGGGTGTCTCAGTGTAGCCTTGGCTGTCCTGAACCTCCCTCTGTAGACGAGGCTAGCCTGGAACTCCATTTATAGACCAGGCTGGTCTTGGAGGCCACTGCTGAACCAAACACTTTGCAAATAGCTGTTTATGTGCTGTTAGACGGGCTGGGGTTAATGCACTGCTGTTAGTATTTAACAAGTCTGTTTGTCCTGTCTTCCTCTCAGGCCTCAACCATGTTACGAGCCTCTTTGGTACCTGAGTAAGTAATCATTCTTAGGAGTTTTTATTAATTATGTTCTAAAATTTTACTTACTTTTATTTTATGTGTGTGAGTGCTTTGTCTGTACATTGCCTGCTGCCTTCTGCCTGCTGCCTGCTGCCTGCTGCCTGCAGATGGTGGAAGATGGCATTGGGTACTCTAGAATCAGAGTTACACATGACTGTGAGCCACCCTGTGGATGCTGGGAACCAAACATGGGCCCTCTGTAAGAGCAGCCAGGGCTCTTAACTACGGAGCCATCTCTCCAGCTCTGTATTCATGTCTATATGTGAAACTGGAATTCAAGATAGTTTTCCTAAACATCCAACCACATGTGGATATGAAAGAAAACGTCCATGATTATAAGTAATGCTAAAGTAGAATTATCTTTTAACATTTATTCTTGTAAGGTGGCATGAAATAGCAAAAACACTATTGGCTTGATACTGTGATATTCTCTAGAAATGAATTCTATCCCATCATTCCGCAGTCAGCAGACATTGCAGAGTCAAGTTCAGTGTCCTCTGCTGGCTCACTGTGACCAGGTCCTCAGGGTAGCCTTGTCTATGCCCAAGCATCTCTGTTCAGATGAGTTAGGCTATCACCACAGAAGCGTGACATGTGTGTCACCAGCTGTGTATGGCAGTAGTGAGGAAGTGGAAAGCTTGGACCTGGGCTTAAGGACTAGAGTAGGTTCTGCTTAACCTCTAAGCCAGCATGTGAGGGTGGGGTGGGGGTGAGGAGCTGTGAGCTGACTCAGAACCAGAAATGCTGCAGTCAGTGGCCTGCTCCCCTGCCTGAGTCTTCCTGGTCTTGGCATTATGTTCGCAGCTGCCACTTGGTGGCAGTATAGTGTGATTCTTACAAGCATGGATGCCTGGTTAAAATCCCACCTCCTCCAGCAGCTGTGGCACTTAGACCACTCACTGAGCCTCTGCACCTCAGCTTCTTACCTATAAAAAGAGAAGAGTGGGGGCTTCCTGCTGCAGGTTGAGAGTGAGTGTGGGGAGGAGACTGCACCAGTATACTGCTGGACAGTAGTCCCATGGCTAGCATTCTTAGTGAGGTCAGGTCAGGGCCACCCACAAGGAAAAAGGGATGGGTTTGTGGAGGAAGCATGACCCATTTTCTTGGTCAGTAGAATAATACTGGCCCCTTGGTAATAGTCTTTGTGGGTAATCGTAGCAGTGTGGTAAAGCCAAATGTTCTCCCTTCCTTTTAGAGGAACCCCCGGCAGTACAAGAGAACCAAATTGGGCTTTGCAATTGCAATATTTTTCTTGAGAATGAGGACCTATTTACACTTTAATTTACACTTTTTGTTGTTGTTTTGTTTTCATTTGTGTGAGACAGGGTTTCTCTGTGTAGCCCTGGCTGTCCTGGAACTCACTCTGTAGACCAGACTGGTCTCAAACTCAGAGATCTACTTGCCTTTGCCTCCCAAGTGCTGGATTAAAGGCATGTGTCATCACTGCCTTTTTTTTAAAATTTGGTTTATTATATTATTATTATTATTATTATTATTATTATTATTATTATTATTTATTAGATAGCCAAAAATGGGCTGGAACTTACGAAGTAGTCCAGGCTAGCCTTAAACTTGTAGTGATGCTCCTGCCTCAGCGTCCATGTTCTGAAATTATAAGTATCAGCCTCCATAACCAGTTTATTATAGTCATTTTGAGATGTTAATAGACTATTACAGGAATTCTTTTTTAAAAGTTCTCTTTTGAAAATGTATTTATGTGTATGCGAGTGTTCCAGTTTGCCTGTATGTACACCACAGGCGCACAGTGCTTTCAGAGTCCAGAAGAGAATACCAAGTCCCCTGAAATTGCAGTTACAGATGGTTGTGAGCTGCCATGTTGATGCTAGGAATGGAACCCGGGTCCTCTGCGAGAGCAGCCAGTGCCTTTAACTGCTGAGCCATCTCTCCAGCTCCCCAAGATTTCCCAGTGCTAATATTTTACACAAGCCTTCCACAGTTAGCAAAGTAAAGAGGTCAGCATGGGTGTGGGGAGTTGGACTTCCGTGACACAGCCTGTAATCATTGCACTTGGGAGGCTGAGGTGGGACAGTTAGCCTTGGCCACACAGAGAGACCCTGTTCAAGCACTAAACCAAAGACAAAACCCAGTATGTAATTTTTTTTCTTATTATAGAAAATTTGCATGCCATTGAAATCTAAGAAGAAATAAATTTAGACTACATAAAGTCCACCCATCAGTCAGGGCTGAGCTGGCTGAGCTGGGTGGGGACCTGCACACTAGGCTCCCAGGGGAAGGCTCTGTCTATTCTGGGAGCCCACAGTTGGGGTGGCATTTGGGCCACTGCCGGTTCCTTCAGTCTAAGTAGATATCTCGATGCTCAGGAGATGGAATGACATGCCCCTTTGCCCTTTTTCTTCTCTTTGAACTTGCGATGCCGAGTAGGAAGTTGAAGGATGTCCCATTACTGCCTTCCCTGGATTATGAGAAACTGAAGAAGGATTTGATTTGGGGCAGTGACCGCTTGAAAGCCTTCTTGTTGCAGGCTCTGCGCTGGGTAGGTATCTATCTTCCCCTTGAAGTGAAAAACAAACAACAGAGAGAAAACTCCAGCACTGCTTTTCTTGGCTGGCTACCTGTTAACTTGGCTGGTATCTTGTAACCCCTCTGTTAAAGTCCCTTCCTGCTGCCTGCCACCAAGACCTGAGGTTAAAAGCTGCTCCAGCCAGGTGTGGGAGCACATGCCTTTACTCCTAGCTTTTAGAAGGCAGAGATAGGCATAGTTATGTAAGTTCAAGGCCAGACTGGGCTACACAGCAGGATCCAGAGTAGCCAGGACTATATAGTGAGGGCCCACCCCCACCACAGCAAGAAAATCAGCTGCTGAGGTAGACCTTGGCCTTGCTCTAAAGCACTGTGCACTGAGGTCAGTTCCTGTTGCCTTCATGTGTAATGTGGCAGCTGCCCCTGCCAGGCAGCCAGGTGCCTCATTCAGCTTGGAGCCTTCATGTTAGTTAGAGCATGTAACCAAACTCAAGTCACAGCTCCAGAGACCCTGGTACAAGACTGACCAATTAGCCACACAGGCCCATCAGAACAAACCCTGATGGGTTTCCTGTCCCTCTTCATTCTTTAGGCTGGCCAGTTGCAGCCAGTAGTTAGTTTTCTAGTGTTCCAGATCCCTCTGCATCCTTAAAAATTATTGAGAACTCCAAAGGGTTTTGTTTATATGGATTTTATCTTAACAGTACTTACAGTATTAGAAAATTGAAACAGAAAACTTAAGAATTTAGCATTCTCTGTAAAGTAAACAAATGACACGGTCACATAAATAACAATAACTGGTTTCCAAATGACAAAGTGAGCACGAAGAGTGGCATTGTGGTGTAGCCATCTTCATTGTCTGCCTTTGAGGAGAACCCCTGGGCTCTCGGAACTTGCTTTTGTGTTAGACTTGCCAGTGTCACACTTAGTCTCTGAGAAAGTGATCAAGAGCTTGGCAGAACCCATCTTAATGTCACTGTGAAAATGGTCGTGTCCCTTCTGATTCCATGGAAGAGTTTTGGTGATGTCCAGAGTTCTCTGAACTACACTTTGAGAATTACTGACCAAAGTCTTTCACCAAACAGTCCATTCTAACTCACCCTAGAGTGGTGTAGCTACTTTGTGAACCCTGTATTTCAGGGTACACTGGGATCAGAATTCTGTGCGCAGCTTTACCACTTTGAGTGGGAAGTCCTCACTGGTACTTAGCATCTGCAGTGCTTCCTGGCCTGTGCCTCATTGGGAACTGTGAGGAATACTTGGAGCCCAAGGGAGAGCCCTGTGGTGCCTGCTGTGTTTTGTGGGGGCCTGTTGACCAGGGTGGGTGGGCAGCCTGAGTGATCGCCACGGGCTGTCCCAACCCTGGTTTGCTTGTGTCTTCTCATGTCACCACACTCACCCCGCTTGCCTGAGTTTGCCACCCGATGCTGCTGGCTCAGTCAGTCTACTCCCTGGCCCCTTGCTGGGACAGGGCCTCCCTTTATGCAGAAAACAGGCACTTTCACCAGATAATCAGGAAGGCATGCAGGTGTTCAGTGCCTTTGCCTGTGTTCTTCTCCAGAGCACCATCCAGCCTCTTGCTCCACAGGAATTCCTCCATGTGACATTCTTGGCACAATCCTTTAGCAGTCAGTCCCCTCTTCAGTGTTGGTCAGGGCAGCTAGCAGCACCTTCCTCCCTCTGAAGGCCTCTCCTTCCTCCTGTCTGTTGTGTCTATTGGCTGTGGCCTGGCCTTTGTCCATGCTGCAAACCAGGATATTGCGAACACAGCATGCTTATCCTCATACAGAAGCAGATGCTGAGCTTCCCGGTGTTTATTTAGGCTTTTCCTGGGAAAGCAAACACGTGCACATTTGTCAGGTGCACAGCTTTCTCCTGTCCTAACAAACTGTATGCTGCCAAGGGCACCTGCACACCTCACACACTTCCCACCAGTTTCTCTTATTCCCCTGTGGATATCACACAAATTCATATGGCAACATAACAGATTTAATGGGTTCCCAAATTCCAACCAGCTAGCCAGCCTCTCTCCCATCTGCCTCCCCACCCCTATTGCTCATCAGTCCCTAGAAGATAGGATTCATTGAGAGGCTTCTATAGGTAGCCTGGGCCCCACTCTGAGTTCCACCACCCCCCCCCCCCCCCCCACCCCCCACACACACACCTTCCTCCCTGATGGTTGACCATCTGCTCACTCTCCAGGACCTAGCTCTTGCCTCTGTAGGAGTTTGTTACTCTGGTTTCTCTTTGCAGCGCTTGACCACATCCCATCCAGGAGAGCAGAGGGAGACAGTCCTGCAAGCCTATATCAGCAATGACCTCTTGGATTGTCACAGCCACAACCAGGTCAGTAAGAGGTGGCCAGGTCCTTCTGAGGTAGGGAAGCACTTAACAGACTTGAGGCTTTGGTTTTTCTGGACACTGACAGTGTGCTGACCCTGCAGTGTGAGCTTACCAGATGCTTGAGGTCTTATTGCTCTCTTCAGTTCTGAGAGTCCCAAACAATCCCAGCGGCTCTGCAGCTCTCTTCTGTTTCTTCTCTCGCCCTTCTTCCTCCTCCCACTTGAATTGTGCTCCGTTTCAGGGTTCGAAGTCCATGTGTTACAATAGTGGTTTTGTCTAAGTGCTGTAATCTCTGTAGCCATTGACCACTGTAGTTCCTTCAAGTCCATTATGTTACTTGTTTTGTTGTTTGTTTTGTTTTGGTGGTGTTTATATTAGGGACTCACACTGTCCATCTGGCTTCAAATTTACTGTATGGGCTGAAGATGACCTTGAACTTCTGAACTTCCTGCCTCTCCAGCGCCCTGAATGCTGGGATTATAGGCTTGTGCCCATGGCTGGTTTATGTGGGCCTGGGGATGGAACTCAGGTCTTCATGCATCCTAGACAAGCACTCTACCAACAGAGCTCCTCCCCAGACCGGTTTTGTTTCTAAGAAGGAATAACTTAGAGTTCTTTGGAGATACCAGACAACTCGCAGGGTAGGAAGACTCCTTGGTAATGCAGGCACTGGGCCACAGTGACCCTGAAGTGGATTGGCCTGTTAGGAAGGGAAATTGAACTGGTTGGCTAACTCGTGTCAAACTGTACACATCTGACGGTTCTAGCTCTTCAGCATCATGCATGCATCTGAAGAGCACACTTCCTTAATCCAAGGACTATTGTTTTTCCAAATTCATAGTTCCACTTATTATTCACAAAAATGAATATAGAAAATATTTGAAAAAATTAAAGTTGTTTTTCCATCACCTAGATTAAGAAATAGAAACTTGGGCTGGAGAGATGGCTCAGCCATTAAAGGCCAGGCTCACAGCCAAAAACATAAAAAATAGAGACTTCCAGCACTTTATAAACTTCTAGGTTACAGCCCTTTTCCTTTCATAAAGAAATAGAGCCCAAGGCAATCTCAGGACGAAGGAGGCAAAAGTCTACATAGTGAGTCCATGATAGTTAGGGCTACATAGACCCTGTCTAAAAAGAAAAAGAAAAAAAAAAAAAGGAAGGAAAGAAAGAAAGAAAGAGCGAGCTATCATTCCAGCTTTTAAAAATTATAGTAATATTGGTGGGCTGGAGAGATGGCTCAGTGGTTAAGAGCACTGGCTGCTCTTCCAGAGGACCTGGGTTCAATTCCCAACACCCACATGGCAGCTCACAACTTTCTGTAACTCCAAGATCTGACACCTTCACACAGACATACATACAGACAAATCACCAATGCAATAAAATTTTTAAAAAATTATGTTTAAAAAAATTACAGTAACACTGTGTTAGGGTTTCTTTTGCTGTGAAAAGACACCGTGACCCCACAGCAACTTTTTTTTTCTTTTTTTTTGTTAAATAGTTTTTCAAGACAGGGTTTCTCTTCTGTGTAGCTTTGGAACCTGTCCTGGAACTCACTGTGTAGACCAGGCTGACCTAGAACTCACAGAGGTCCGCCTGCCTCTGCCTCCCGAGTGCTGAGATTAAAGGCGTGTGCCACCACTGCCTAGTGACCACAGCAACCCTTATAAAGGAAAACATTTAATGGGGTAGTTTGCAGTTTCAAAGATGTAGTCCGTTATCATCGTGCCAGGACATGGTGGCATGCAGGCTGGCATGGTGTTAGAGAAGGCGCCAATGAGGGTTCTACATTGCCATCTATAGGCAGCAGGAAGTGAACTGCATACCACACTGAGCATAGCTTGAGCAAAAGAGACCTCAAAGTCCATCTTCACGGTGACACACTTCCTCCAACAAGGCCATACCTACTCCAGCAAGGCGGTTTTCTTTCAGATCACCACATTCCACTCCCTGGCCCCCAAAGGCTTGTAGCTATATCATAATGCAAAAATGCATTCAGTCCAACTTAAAAAGTCCCCATAGTCTATCACAGTCTCAAACTTATTTAAAAGTCTAAAGTTCAAAGTTTCTTCTAAGATTCAGGTAATCTCTTAACTGTAATCCCCTGTAAAATTAAGGAAATGAGTGGTGGAACCCAAGCTGTCTAGCTACTTTAAAGCCAAATAGTAAAAGTAATTTAAGTATAACTCCAGAGAAGCCAGTGTAACTCCTGCCAGGGGAGAAAGGAAGACATCTGACATCCAGGAGCACCTTTTGTGTGCAGAGCACTCTGTGATGAACTTTTCCATAAGAAAGCTTGGTTGGTCCTTATACCTTGAAACACGGGATTAATAATCTGTCTTCTAACGTGAAAAAATAGAGGCTCAGGGTTGAAGGGTAGTGCCCTAGCCTACTTTCATTTCTATTGCTGTGATAAAATGCTGTGGAAAAAAAAACAACTTGGGGAGAAAGAGATTATTTTCACTCCTAAGCCCATCTTTGCCAGCAAATCTAGACAGCTGGAACGTGATGCTAGTCACATCACAGTCAAGCAGAGAGAAATGGACACATGACTGCAGGTAATGAGGTCAGTTTATCCATCTCACATAGCTCGGGATCTCCGGCTCAGGAACTGGGCCTGCCCACGGTTAAAATGGGTCTTTCCATGTCAATTAAGACAAACCCCCATAGGCATTCCCACAGGCCAACATGATCATTGAGACTGTCTTCCCAGGTGATTCTAGATTGGGACAAATTGGCAATTAAAACACCACACATTGTGTGAGATTCAGACTAAGACCTTAAGCCAGGCATCAGTATTTTCTGCAATAAATATTTATTTTCGCCAGTCACAATTTTTTCAAGCAAAGTTGGGGCTGGGGAGATGGCTCAGTTGGTAAAGCATGGATTCCCAGCACCCATGTTAAAAAGAAGGCAGATGGGCAATCCTGTTGGTTACTGTGATCTCGTCCTGTAATCCCAGTGCAGGGGAGGCAGAGACAAGAGGATCCCAGGGGCTTGTTGGCCAGCCGGGCTCCGTGAAGGACCCTGTCTCAAAAAATAAGCTGGAGAGTGACTGAGGAAGACACCTGTGGACTCCACGTACTTGCATTTGCTCTCTCTCGAGCGCACATGTGGCACCCGCCCCCACCCACCCACACCCACACACCCCCCAACACCCACCGGGGGGGGGGGGGGGGATGATTTGGAAGGGTGTCCTGGGCTGTGGAAATGTGACTTCTGCCCTTGGCTACCTTTTAGCACATGCTCACTTGTGAACACTCTTCAGGCTGTGCCCTGGTGAGCTGTAAGTTCTCTGTTCTGTACACTACCGTGAAATTTGCCTAAATAAAGATGGTACAAGGACAGTTGACATCTCAGGGGTGGCACATGGCCCTTTCACTCGGCCTAGTTCAGCTGGAGCCCCCTACATCAAGTACAGAGTTACCACACAGAAGTCTTGCTTCCCCAAACTTGGTCCTCTCTCTTGACAGTCCCTTTCCGACCTCTTCCCCTCCCCCCACTTTTCTGAGCACAGGGTTTCATGAATGCTCTAAGTTACATTCCAACCACTGGCGTTTGCTTGTTTTGAGAGACAGAGAGAGAGAGAGAGAGAGAGAGAGAGAGAGAGTGTGTGTGTGTGTGTGTGTGTGTGTGTGTGTGTGTGTGTGTGTGTTGTCTGCCTGTTTGGATGTGCATCTTGTGTATGCAGGGTCTGAGGAGATCAGAAGAGGGCACTAGATCCCCTGGAATTGAAGTGTTCATGGTTGATAGCTGGTATGTGGGTGCCAGGAACCCAACCCAGGTCCTCTACAAGAGCAGCAGATATTCTCAACTGCTGAGCCATCTTCTCTAGCCCTGTAGCCACCAAGAATGTCTTGCTATATCCTGGGCTGACCTTGAACTGGAGATTGTCCTGCCTCTGTCTCCCAGGTACTGGGTGACCGGCATGCAACATTACAATGACTTTCTGTCTGCGTTTGGGTGGCTCCTTGCTCATGTGAACCTGGTGTGCCCCAGTGCTGACACACTCTGTGTCACCCGTTCATGATAACACTCCCTCCTGTCCCTGTGCTGGGAGATCACAGGAGCAGCACAATGCCATATAGCCACTTTGTTTCTGTCTTCTGTTTGTCTGTCTGTATTATCCCTGCTTTGTCCCTAGCTCTTCAGACTTCCGAAGCATAAGTGGTGGGAATCAGGGGATTTATTCTCACCCATTGTGAATGACTCAGGGTCTACATCCTGTTTCTAGAACTGTGCGAGTAACATTTCTCATGGTATTTAGTCAGTTGTTCAGAATTCATATTTAAAAAAGGGGGGGCATTTACCGTAGTCCTGTCATGTTTGGAGGGGGCTGAATCAGATGTGTGCTTCTCTCATTTAGAAAGCCACCAACAGTAGCAGCCACATGAGCCCTGTTGTTCTAGGTGCTTGGCATACTTAATTTAACTTAGAGGTTTGGGCAACTTCCTTTTGCCAAGTCTCATCAAGTAGCTTTTGGAAATCAAGAGTTGCAAGTGAAATGTGTGGCTGTAGCCGCTAGTCAGGCAGGCACAGGGGCGGGCGTCTGTCCCTTCCCCAACTCCTAACCTGACTGTTGTCTCTCTCAATGGTTGTTCCCTACAGAGGATCGTGCTGCAGCTGCTGCACTCCAAGAGCGAGGCTGTGCGGCAGTACATGGCCAGGCTCATCAATGCCCTGGCATCCCTGGCTGAAGGTGAGGTGACATTTTCCTTCCAAGCAGAACAGCCCTGGCCAAGCACATGGCATCCCTGTGAAATTAGTGTTTTCCAGTGTTGCTTAAAGTAGCCCAGGTCTCCTCATTTTATTTCTGTTCTTCTAATGTCAATTGTGAAAATTAGTTCTTAAGATAATTGCCTGAGTTTCTGTCAGAACAAATTTTCTTGCCCCTTATTTAAATTGTTTTTAACTGCTTAGTAGGTAATACTTTTTCTATAATTCCTACTTGCCAAAATAAGTTTGGTGAAACAAGTAATGTTTCCTATGATCTTTAAAGGATTTGAAAATTTCAGAAGTAATAGACACTGAAACTGAAATAAAAGCCAGTTTTATACAGGGCCATCATCAGGGCAGGTGAAACGGCTCAGCTAGTAAAAGTTGTTGTGTATGCCTCATGACCGGAGTTTGATCCCAGAACCCACTAACAGGTCAGATGTGGATCCCAGCATTCCTAGGGTGAGATGGGAGGTGGAGACAGAATTGTCTGTGGGACAGCCAGCCTGGAGAATGCAGCACAGTGGCAGAACAGCAAGAGAGACCCTGCTTCAAAATAAGGTGGAAGGAAAGAACTGACTTCCAAAAATTGTCCTGTGGCCTACATGAGTATGCATGCTACACACGCCCACATTCACAAGTGTACAGCTCACATACCATACACCCCCAGGATAATTTCTTTACATCCTTATTTGTTTGAGACTTTTGTTATTTTGCTTTTTAATTGTTGATGAAACTGGGTCTATGTAGACCAGGCTGGCCTTGGCCTCACAGATAGCTGTCTGCCTCTGCCTCCGAGTGCTGGGATTGTGCACCACCACACCCAGCCCCATTTGAGGTATTTTTTAATGTGAATAAAAAGAGTTCCAGGATATGAATACGTGATATTCAACATGTTTATTTAATTCATTATCCCATTTGTTTGGTAAACACTTGTTATAAGCCAATGTATGCACTGAGAAGCAGCCATCTAATAATCCTGTTTAAAATTAGTATCTGTCGGTGCAGACATCTACAAAAGGTTAGTGGTGACGCTGCACTTATTAAGGTGTCTAGACAGGGCCCCGCCTCCATCGGGCCCTGAGCATGTCCCACAGGAGCAGAGGAGAGTGGCAGGCAGAAGCAGTCCTTGGCTTCCTCTCTTGTAGAGGTCAGGGGCTCACAGCATACCTCCACTCTTCTTGTACCCAGAGTGGTGGTGGCTTATGTTCAGCCTACAGGGAGAAAGGCTTTCTATTGGCTAGATCATTGCTTGAGTAAGTGTCTGTTCTGAGACAGGATCGAGCATGTAGGAACTAGCCTGGCCACAAACTTGCACTCCTGCCATGGCTCCCCAAGTACTGAGATTTCAGGCATGTACCACCATACCTGGCTCAGAAAAAAACACACCTTAATAATTTTTTTCTAGAACTTTCTAGTGTATCCTATGCAAATCTTCACTAGAAAATGGCTTGGTGCACAGCAGACTAATTCTTTACATCTTCTCCATTTTCATCTCTGGCACATCTCTAGGTCGACTCTATCTTGCCCAGAACACAAAGGTGCTGCGGATGCTGGAAGGAAGGCTGAAGGAGGAAGACAAGGATGTCATCACTCGTGAGAATGTCCTTGGGGCCTTGCAGAAGTTCAGCCTCAGGTGAGGACCTTGCCTTGGGTCAGTTTCTGCCTGTGAGCTCAGGCTGTCTTTTGTGTGTGTGTGTGTGTGTGTGTGTATGTGTGTGTGTTCAACCAGGTGGGTGTGGTTGAACCACCATTTCTTACTTAATTCTCATGACGTCCTAGGATGCAAATGGTGTTTTTCTGTTAACATTTGCAAGAGGTTAGATGACTTTCCATGGCAGAGCTTCTCTCTAAGCTCTGCTATTGAAAGTTGCTGGCATGGAGGAAGACATTACAGTGAGTATGCCATTGCCTTCCCCTACCTAATATGGGGTCATTAGTGCCAGCCAGGTGCTTGGTGTAAGGGTAAACACACATAGTCAAGTTGCTCCCCATTATATGTAGTGTGACCAGTGGTTCTGTGGGAGCCTTGCTCCTTGTGCATCCCAGCACCCACCCAGAGTCTTGGCCTGAACCTGGCATGACTTGGAAGTGCTATATTAGAGCTTAAAAATCATGTTCTTTTGTTTTTTAAGTATTTCTTTTCAAACTTATGTATATGAACATTTTCCCTGCACGTATGTATGTGCACCAGGTGCATGCCTGGTGCCCCCAGGAATCAGAGAGTGTGTTGTATCCCTGGCACTGGAGTTACAGATGACTGTGAGCTACCATGTAGTTGCTGGGAACTGAGCCAGAGTTCTCTGAAAGAGCAGCAGGTGCTCTTAACCACTGAGCCATCTATCCAGCCCTTCATGTTGTTTTTGAAACAGATCTAGTGTCTTCTTAGAACTTTTTACAAACAACAGCTTAGCTGGGCATGATAGTTTATGGCTTTAATCTCAGCAATTGGGAGGCAGAGGCAGATGGAGCTCTAATGAGTTCAAAGCCAGCCTGATCTACATAGTTTCTATACAGTTTTCTACCTTGTTTCAAAAAAAAATGTTCTGTTTTATACATATGAGTGTTTTGCTGTGTGTATCTATGTGCAACATGTGTGTGCCTGGTGACACACATGTTAGCGGTCAGAAGAGGGCTTCTAATCCCCTGGAGCAGGAGTTACACATATGGCTCTGAGCCATGATGTGAGAAATGAACCTAGATTCTCTGCAAGAGCAACAAGTCTGGTTTTCACAGATTTGCAGAGTTCTGCAGCCATCACAACCTGACTGTAGAACCTATTTCCCATTTATTTATTTACATGTGTGCATTGTGGAGGTCAGAGGATGATTTGTAGGGATTGGTTCTCTCTTTCCACCACGTAGGTCCTAGGGATCAAACTCAGACCGTCAAGCTTGGCTGCAGTGCCCTTACCCACTGAGCCATCTCACCTGTCCTAACTTCAGAGCATTTCTCTCTCAGAAACAAGTCTCACACTAATTGTTGTCGCTCTGTCTTGTGTAAGTCCAGCACATGGAATCGTGTGAGATGAGCCCCTCCAAATGGCTTTTTTTTTTTTTCAGAGTAGTATTTCTGTGACCTGTTGCCTGGGTCAAGTAAGCCAAAGCTATCAATGACAATTTCATATTTGAAATAGAAGTCTGCTTACTTCTATTTGAAAAGGAGACTTTCAAAGTGGGGGGCCCTTCTTACTGCTCTTTAAACTATTGTGTCCTTAAAGGTCAAGAATTTTTGTTGTTCTAGTTGAATGGGCTTAACAATAGGATGTTCTCCAGAAGACTCTCCCCCCCCCCCCCCAGGATTTCTCTGTGTAACAGCTCTGGCTGTCCTGGAATTCACTTTGTAGACCAGGGTGGCCTCAAATTTATTGAGATCTTCCTGCCTCTGCCTCCTGGGTGCTGGAATTAAAGGCGTGCACCACCACTGCCTGGCTGAGTCTCTTTCATAGCTCTGTTTGATCCTTATTTGCACCATGGAATAATCTTCCATGGAAAGTCCCTTGCCAGTCAATTGATCTAATAAGGTTGTTTGCTCTTAGGCGCCCACTGCAGACAGCAATGATTCGAGATGGCCTCATCTTCTGGTTGATCGACCTTCTGAAGGACCCCGACTGCCTGTCTGACTACACATTGGAGTACTCTGTGGCTTTGCTCATGAACCTCTGCCTCCGCAGTGCAGGTGTCACAGCCCTCCAACCCTCCATGCATGCACATACCCTGATACACATGCCCTTGGTATGGAGGATGGCTGGGCAGAGACCTGCCCACAGATCTGTATTTCCAGTGAGATAGGTTGGGCTTGCTTTTCGTATCCCTCATGGAAAATTTAGGACAGGGGTGAGTAAAGCATTTCTAGCTAGGTATGAAGCTAGCAAGCCCAAGAACCATGTTACCTTTGGAAAGAATCTGTGTGCAGTCCTGTATTTACAAAGTGCCCTTCTGAAGAGGAGAGTAAATTCAGTCACATTTCTTTCATCTTTGTTCCACTTTTCAAAGTTATGATCCCTGCTACTGAAGACAGAGGCATACTCCCAACATCCTCTGGGATTAAGTTGGTGGCTGGAGCAGTGACATTAAATCATGCTACCTGCTCATTATTTTACATCTCCTGGAGATGGAGGGGCACTGACGGCTGCTTCTTACCTATTGGGAACATATCCCAGGTGACAGAATGCTTGCCTGGCATGCACAAAACCCTATTTGATCCTCAATACCATATAAACTAGGCATGGTGGTGCATGCCTGTAATACCAGCACTCAGAAGGTAGAGACCAGACAATCAGAAGTTTAAAGTCATCCTTGGTTATACTGTAAATTGGAGGTTGGCTTGGGCTAACCCTGTCTCAAAAGCAAAATCCCCCCGAATAAACAAAAACTGCTCAGCTACTCAATGGAGATGGAGTTTTAGCTTCTGTACACACATCAGCCCTTTCAGACTCCATCACTGCAGTAGCTGATGCCTTAGAAGAGACTCTCACTTGCTGGGCTGCCTCCATCCCCTAGGGTCTCTGGAAAGGTAGGTGAGAAGCATGCTGTCTCAGCAGCTTGCCCTCTCTTCCCCATCTGCAGGGCTTCATGCTCCAAGCCACACGTGTGCTGTTCACCGAGTAAGCAACTGCTGTGCAGTCTTCTGCTCTGGGAATAGTCTGTGTGGAAGCCCCAGCTCTTGAATGCTTGTCAGAGCCTGCCACTTTCTCCTCTCACAGTTTGGCAGTGTGTTTGGTGATACTGTGTACTCACATAGCACATTATGTTGTTGTCATGGCCACCACCAGCTTCCAAGTTCTTGGGGCTTATGTGGGCTTACTTAATTCTGCACCTCCCTTTGGAGCAGGTGCTAATTATCTACTTTTGTTTGTTTGTTGAGATCAGGTCTCTGTGTAGCCCTGTCCTGGAGCTTACTATGTAGACCAGGCTGGCCTTGAACTCACAGAGATCCTCCCATCTCTGCCTCTCTGGATTATAAGCATGTGCCACCAAACCCACCAACACAATAATCCACATTTATTTATTTATTTATTTATTTATTTATTTATTTATTTATTTTTAAGATTTTATTTTATTATGTATACAATGTTCTACATGTATGCCTGCAGGCAGGAAGCAGGCACCAGATCTCATAATAGATGGTTGTCATGTGGTTGCTGGGAATTGAACTCAGGACCTCTGGAAGAGCAGTCAGTGCTCTTAACCTCTGAGCCATCTCTCCAGCCCAATAATCCACTTTTAAAGGGAGAAAACTGAGGCTCTGAGCGACTAAGTGACTAGCTCGTCACACAGCTCACTTCTGTCTGACATGCTTTGTCTTGCTTCCCACAGGAAAGAACATGTGTGCTAAAGTGGCAGGGCTCGTGCTGAAAGTCCTTTCAGATCTCCTTGGCCATGAAAACCATGAGGTACTCAGGCAGTGCTACTTGCCCTGGGGTAGACTGGGGCACTGTAATGGCGACCTGGGTGCTTATGATCTCACAGGCAAGGGGCTGGCGTTGGGCAGTTTCTGTATTTAACATATATTCCTAATTGTATTTGAGGGTCCTCTGTGTGTGTACGTGTGTGCACGTGCATGAGTAGGCTTGTGTGTGTGTGTGTGTTTACATGTGTTTGAATGCAGGTGTGTGAGGGTGTCCATGAAGACCTAAATTTGATGTTGGTTGTCTCCTTGATTGCTCTCCACTTCATTTACTAAGGCAAGATCCACGAGATTGTGGAACCTGAGCTCTCCCATCCTGCTAGTCTGGCTAACAAGCTTGCCTTGCAGATCCCCAGTCTCTGCCTCCCAAGTTCTGGGATTACTGGCGCCACCATACCTGCCCAGGTTTTACATGGGTACTAGGGATCTGAACTCAGGTCACTCTGTAAAAGTGTCTTATCCACGGATAAGATTCCCACCCCATCCTCTGGCCACTTTTGAAAGCAACTTCACATCTTGCAGGTTTCAAACATTTCACACCTCGCTTTCTCATGCCCTGCCTCACTGATGTAGCCAGGTGCTTGTCCCACCCCACATTCTAGTATCATCTATCACTTTCTGGGTTCTTCCCTGACATTAACACTCCCTGGTCCCCTCTACTGTTTGATATCTGACTGTGGACACGCATACCTCTGATGATATGTTTGTGTGATCTTAATTTGCATAAAAGATGTTTCAATCTAGAGCTCATCAGTTGATAACTGTCCCCTGGGGCCCTGTCTCTGTTCTTCATGGCTCTCCTGTTCTAAGCCTCACTCCTGCAATACTCCCTGGCTTTCGCCATGTCCTGGAACATATCTTATTCCTCATAGGCAGGCCTTTGATGGCTTCCAGCTCTGCTGCTACAGTTGTTCTCTGTGACAGCTCCATTCTTGTCCTGTGGGACCCCACACAGAGATTCCTTGGGGTATGTGGCCCTCATGGCTGCCAGGTCATCACAGCATATGTGATGCAGGGCTCAGGTTACCCTCCAGAATGACCCCATTATCATGCAGCTGGTGTTACTTTGTTTTCTAGCCATTTTAAAATATGATAAGTTAACAAGATCATAGATGACAGGTGATTCATCTCTCACTTGCTTTTTACAAATGTTTTTTCCAAAAATAATGGCATCTTGGAGTAGCCCAGCAGGGCCATAACTCTCTACATAGCCCCAGCTGGCAAAAGCTTGAGATTCTCTTGCCTCAGCCTCCAGAGTACTGGGGTGATGACAGCAATTTGTACCTACAGCTAAAGCCGCCACCAAAATGAGCCATATTTTGACACAGGGCATCTCTGTGCTGGTGTGATTGGCAGGACCCTTGGGTCAAGAGGAGCACACATCCATTCCATCCCAAACAGGCAGCTCCGGTCCAGTTCACTCCCCACAGCCACAACACCTCACTGACACTGGCGTCTTCAGCAGGTAGACATTAGGTAGCTGTTACAGTTCATGCTGGGCCTTTTATATTTCAAAGCCAGCGAGTTTTTCACTGCTTCAGTCCTGGCCCAGTTGCTCCCTGAGACTGTTCTTCATTGTGTTCAACTCAGGCAGTTAAGTGCTGCAGGAATCATAGTCTTCCTGTGACTTGTGGAATGCAAATGAATTAGACCAAAGTGTCAGTTCTTATCATCAGCTGTTGCCAGTGTATTTGCTTAAGAGCAATAGAACCTGCCTTTAATCCCCAGTGCCACAAAAACCAGGCCTGGTGTCTCAGGCCCATAAGCCTAGGACTTGGGAAGGAGAGTCAGTAGAGTCAGAAGTTCAAGGTCATCATCAGCTCCATAGCAAGTCAAACCAAGCCTGTCTCAAAAAGAAAAGGTACACAAATACATATGTATATTTCAGAAGCTGCAAGAGTGGGGACTGTAACAGACAAAGGTTGTACTTGTGTGTCCTGTGTTAGATAGCCCTAGTCTTGATGCTCGTATTTGTGTGTACATTGCTATTTATGGAGTTATGGAGAGAGAGACCCTTATCAAATTGAACAGGTAAGAATGTTTAGCTGCCGGGCTGAAGAAATGGCTCAGAGGTTAAGAGTACTGACTGCTCTTCCAGAGGTCGGAGTTCAATTCCCAGCAACCACATAGTGGCTCACAACCATCCATTATGAGATCTGGGTCCTCCTCTGGTGTGCAGATATACGTGGTAGCAGAATGTTGTATACATGATAAATAAATAAAATCTTTAAAAAAAACAAAAGAATATTTAGCTGCATGGTAGCTGGATCAAAGGGCAAGCTTCAGAACTGGGGTCTAGTTTAGAGACAATGTATCCTCAGTTATGAAGTGACATCTGAGCAAGGACAATAGCAGCAGATGTGGGGAAGCAAGGGCTCTTAGCGATAATGGCTCAGAGTGAAAATATTCGGAGTAAATAGCAGAATCCACGTTGACTCCCAAGTTTCTGGTCTGGGTGACCAAGATGTTAGAAATTATGTTAGTTAAGCAGTGACACGCAACAGGAAGAAGATTGAGAGGGCCTGGTGGATGTGGATTTGGATTTGGACTCAGTTGTAGCTCTCACAAACAAATGGAGGTATCTCATGTGAAATGTGCATTCTGGGTCCTGGAGACAGGGATACCAACTCTCCCCTTAGCCAGACTGATCCTGAGTCTGGAATCTGGTCGTTGAGTTGTTAGTATTTGAAAACTTGCAAATAAATGACTGGTCTTTTTTCTCCCCTTAAAGATACAGCCGTATGTGAATGGAGCCCTGTACAGCATCCTTTCCATCCCATCCATCCGTGAAGAGGCCAGAGCCATGGTAAGAGGATGTGCTGAGCTGGGCATAGCAGTTCACACTTGTAACCTCAGTACTTGGGAGGGTGAGGCAGGAAGATCGCTGCAAGTTTGAGACCAGCCTGAGCTACATTGTGATTTTGAGGCCAGTTGTCTCAAATTAGACTCTCTCTCTCTCTCTCTCTCTCACACACACACACACACACACACACACACACACAGCCCTGAATAGTTAGTTCAAAGGCTCCTCCCAACACCATAAGTCAGAGCTGTGGAAGAAGGTTCTCTCTGCTTCCCCCAGGGCAGGTCTTCAGACTCCCTAAAACTGTATGTAAACGATTTTGTGTGTGTGTGGTTTTCTAAAGGGAGAATCTGTTGCTTTTATCAGATTTTCACAAGGATCCCTACATTGTAAATGGTAAAGAGCTACAGTGTTGGGAAAACTCTAGAAAGCTTCTTTTGCAATGTTGGAGGTGTTTTTTGGCAGTTGACAAAGCTGCTTTGCATCTCAATTGCAAGCAAATAGAGTTTTACTTACTTTGTTTACATTTGTGCTCATATTTGAAGTACAACAACAACGGCTGGGTGATTAGTGTCTTATTTTGAGAGGACAGTTGTTTCTAAAGCTATCCAGCAAAACCACTAACGCTTTTACCTTTTTCCTAATGCTATATGAAACCAGAGTAACTGTGTACATAGTAAATTCTGTGGTGAAGGGATTAAATGTGTTTCTATACTCAGAACACAGGAGACCACAAGAACATTCCATCCACTGGTTTTGTTTTTTTAAGAGAATTATTAAATCTTCTAGTTGGTTAAAATAGTGTCAACAGTTAAACAAGACATGTTTCACCTAAGAACCGTCTGTATGAATACACCCAACAATGGAACTTAATTGCCTTCAGTATTAAAAGTAACTAATATTTAGGTGTGGCAAAATGGCTCAGTGGGTAAAGGCACCTGCCACCAAGCCCGACAACCTGAGTTCTACCCCAGAATCTGAATGGTAGAAGATAATTAATTCCTGGGAATTAACCCCTGACTTCCACATACACACGGTGGTACACAAGCACACTTGCATGTACACACACACACACACACACACACACACACACACACACACACACACTAGGTCTTCTTGCTCACTGCTCTTTCCCATACTGGGAGAGGTGCTTCCTCCTACTTAACCCTCTCAGCAGTCCCTAAAGGACTGACTGTGCTGTGTCCATTTCCTTGCTGATGACTTTGGAGTGAACTTCCCTGCCTAGAGTCACACAGCCGGGGCGCCTATGTTTCCTTCCAGAGCTTTCCACACCTGTGCTGCAGTATCACCCTAGAAATTAAAACCTCTTTCCCTTCCTTCCTCCCTCTCCCCCTGCCCCCTTTCTCTGAAGTACCAAGGATGAAACGAATGTGGCTTAGTGGCTAACAAAGCACTCTGCCCCTAAGCCATACCCCAGCACTAATGCAGTCTTTAGTCCAATGAGGAATTTGGCCATAGTAGGTTGTTTTCTCTCACTGTATTACTGTCATTTCTATTGGGACAAGCTGAGCATCCCTCATGTAAAAATCTAGAAATGCCTCAGCGGGTAGGACTGCCACACTCTTCTTGAGGGTCTAAGTTCAGTTCCCATCACTCACATTGGGCAGCTCATACCCACCTGTAACTCCAGTGTACTCTTCTGGCTTCTGAAGGCACCTGCACACATGTGGTTGGCACAAACTCATGCATGCACTCACATGTGGACATATACATAAAAGTTAAGTATTTAAAATATAGGTCTTAAATGTATACATGCTGTTATTGTTTTTTTTAAAAAGAAGAAAAGAGAAATTGCTGAGACAGACATATTGACTATAAGTTTATTATAAGGCCCGGCAGAATGGGGAGACTAAGAAGAGGAACAGGGTAAATGGCTGACCGCCATGGCCGGTCGCCATAGAGAGACAGAGCGCACAGAGCGCACAGAGAGCGGGACAGGAACAGAGAGAGAGAAACAGAGAAACAGAGAGCGTAAAGGGGCAGGGACTTATCTTTTAAAGGGGTCCTCTGCACCTGCGTGCAGACTTCTTTCCCATGGAACCTTGGGCTGACCAGGGTATTGCCTTAGTGGATTCCACCAGGTAACAGGGGCAGGCCAGCATAATGCCTGAACCTTTCACATGCAAGGATCAGTGATACACATATTCAATAACAAAGTACACCTAATTAAAAAAGTACAGAATCTGAGATGCTCAAAAAGTCACAAATTTTTTGAGCACAAACATGAACCCACAGGTGGAAGGTTCTCTCCATGAAACTGTTTCATTCACAAAACTGTTAAAGATGTTGTATAGCCAGATTGGGTAGCGGGTAGCGCATGGTCATATATTTAGCAGACAGAAGGAGTATCATGAGACAGTCTCAGAAATAGCAACACATAGTGTGTGTGTGGGTGTGTGTGTGTGTGTGTAATATTGTATACTATGTAAAATTTTCTTGAGGCTACATATAAAAGATATGTCAAACTCGGACTTCATTTTCACTGTTTTCTCTAATGACAGCTAAGTTCTTTCTGCTTGGCACACTGTGTACTCTGAGACATGTACGTGGCTAGTGATGAGTTCCTGCTGTCTTTCCCATCTCATTTGTGCAGGTTTATCTGAAGTGCCAGGTTGTTGCTTTTAGGATAAAATACCAGGTTTTGTTGTTTATTTTTGCGCACAGGGTCTCACTCTAGCCCAGGGAGTCCTGGAGCTCTTGGTCCTCCTGCCTTGGCCTCCTGAACGATAGAACTACAGGCATGTGCCACCACGCCTAACAGAATACTGTTATTTTTTATACCTACTCATTACTATAATTTAGATTAAACATTACCTACTATATGTGGTTTTAAAAAATATATGTGAAACTTTTCATTGGAGTATTTGCTATGAAGAAAGTGTTAAAACAATCCTCCTAACTACAGACAGGCTGAGCTGTTTATTTTCCACGTGCTAACTAAGCCGGAGATGTGAGAACAAGAGTCAACTAGACTAAAATGATCTATAAAGATATGGGCAGATAATCCTCACAGAAGTCACCTCTGGGAGAAAAGAGCTTGAATGAGTTCTTTGTTTTCAGCTATTCCTTAGCTGCTCAGTAACCATTGTGGTCATTGGCATGTTGAGGTTGAGCACATGACTGTCTCCTAATGATAGCCCTCGACTCACCCTTGTGGGGATGGAAGTGGGGAAGAGTCCACTGTGTGAGACAGAGACAAAAAGTTTTGCTCTTCTGGAAGCCAAGGTCTAAAGCAGACGGTTGTAGGTGACTATAGGTCAAGCCCAGGTATTGACTGTAGGTCAAGCTGACTGGCCCACAGAGTTGGCACAGTGTCTCAATCCTGTTTGAAATGCTGTCCTTATCTCCAGGACATCCACCAGCTGTTCCTCTCTCAAAAGCAGACCATTTCTTCAAGGTCTACTCTCTAGGCTGCCTGTCCCTGCCTCTCGTGGAGTGCTGTGGTCCTCTAGGATTCTGGCCAGCCCTCGGATCTTCTCACTCTACCCACTGGGGCACCTCATTTACTCCAGGGCTTCAGCTGCACTCTCCCTCCTACACCCAGCAGGTGCCATTTTACCACTCACTAAGCACCCCTTTTGTGCCATCCACTGGATTAGGTACCATTTATTATTAGGTATAATTTGCAAAGGTGAAGTGCTCAGTTCTTATATACAGTTACATATGGACCTTATATCTTGAGAGACCCAGACATCTACATAAGTAGTACCAATGACTTATCTTGTCTTTGGGAGAAGTTGATGGATGGGACCCAAGATCACATTCCAAACTCCACATGATCAAAACAGTATGGAATCTTTTTGATTCTGTTAGAGCTAGCCATCAGCCCAGGCCGTGTTCTCTTTTTAAATAGGCTAGTCTAGACACACGAGCTCTAGGAGGATCTTTGTGAGATTGAGACTAGCCTGGTCTGTTTATATAGTGAGTTCCAGCCAGCCAAGACTGCACAGTGAGACCTTGTCTCCAAAATACATAAATGAATAAATAAGTAAATCAATTGGTTAAATTGAGAAAATAAAATATGGACCATATCGGGTCCTATCACCACAAATTCAAGGGCAAGTGGTAGGCAGTTTGATGAGTGTTTGCCTGCCAGTGAGCCAGCCTCTCTGGATGCCAGTAGCTGTGTTTTGGGTTCATTCTTAGACCTGCTTCTCCTCTTGGTGCCAAGAAAACACCTTGTTTGGTCCAGCACGGCACATGTACACATTCCAGTGCTTCAGGGGAGGAGGAGGGTCCTTTGCCTGAGTTAGTATCTTATCTCCAAGTTTGCTTTAGTTCTTTTAGCTAGAGTGGGAAATTCTAGTGTCATTGTGTTAGAATGGCCCAGTGTAGTAGCTCTATAATTTGTATGGTTTTTCTTTTAGTTTTATGTTTATGGGTGTTTCACCTGCATGAATGTGTGTACACTTGCATGCCTGGTGCCCAAGGAAGCCAGAAGAAGGTATCAGATCCCCTGGAGCTAGAGTTACAGACAGCTGTGAGCTACCATGTGGGTGCTGGCAGTCAAAGCTGGGTCTCTGTAAGCTCAGTAAGCACTCCTAACTGCCTAGCCATCTCTCCAGACCTGTCATTCTTTCTTCAAAAATTTAGTAAGGCCCATACCTTTAATCCCAGCACTTGGGAGACAAGGCAGGCATATCTTTTAAGTTTAGGACTAGCCTGGTCTACATAGTGAGTTAAAAATCAAAAATCTAGTTAATTTATTTGGAAGGTGGGGCGGCATGAGCACATAGAAAATCAGTGGCTTCTCCTTCCTGCTTTGCTTTCAGGCAGTGTCTCTTGTTTCTGGCGCTGCCCTTCATACTCCAGCCTGTTTTACCTTCCTGTTTCTACCTATTGTCTCCCATAGGAGTGCTGGGATTACAGTTGTACACTGCCACGTCTGGCCTTTCATGTGGGTCCCAGGGGTTGTACTCAGGCTTGTGTGGCCAGTGCTCTGACCTGCTTTGACCTGTCCCCTCTATCATTCTTTTGATAGACTGGAAATTACGGTTGTTTGAAAAGGCCTCTATTTGTTTAAAACATGTGACTCAGTTTTTCAAAGATCATAAATGACCCTAAAATTCAGAACAGAGTGTGTATAAACTTTGGGGAAACATGGGAAAGACGTCACCTCCCCAGACTATGTGTTTGTCCAACTACAGGCAGTGGTGTGCATGTCCCACAGGTGCTGGGACACAGGCACACAGTGCAAGCTCTTGGTGGTGTCAGTTTTTCCTAAGTGTGTTATAGTGTGATCATCAAATTGGGATAGTCAACCAAGAAGAAAACAATTTCACTGTGAAGTCTTAAATGGATGTTTAGTACAAGCAGATGATTTTTATCTTAAATAGCCTTTCCCCAAAAGAAGAAAAAAGTATCTTTTGGATTAGATGAAATTACCCCACTGAAAAGTAGTCCTCACTATATCAACACTGAGATGTTTGCTGTCTCTGCACTGTTCCTAGGGAATGGAGGATATCCTGCGATGCTTCATCAAAGAAGGCAATGCCGAAATGATCCGCCAGATAGAGTTCATCATCAAGCAGCTGAATTCTGGTCAGTTTCATGGGAGGTCTCTGTCTTATCTTTCGAATTGGTCACGTGTCAGAAAGATACACAAGCTTTCTCATGGAGGTTCTCGATGCCTGGTGTCATTCAGGAGGCTTCTGAGTCAGATATGGGGGTGCACACCTGTAATTCCAGCACTAGAGAAGCTAAGGCAGGAGGATCATAATGAGTTCAAGGTCAGCCTGGGCTACATAGCAAGACTCCATCTCAAAAATATAAAAAACAAGCAATATAGAAGCCTTTAAAGAAAGTAGAGGGGCCAAGTTCAACACATGAAAGTTCCATAGGACAGTTCCTGCTCTACCTATCTAAGGCCCTGGATTCCATATACTCTCTCTCTCTTTCTCTCTCTCTCTCTCTCTCTCTCTCTCTCTCTCTCTCTCTCTCTCTCTCTCTCTCACACACACACACACACACACACACACACACACACACACACACACACACACACACGCCCCCTCCCCCACAATGGGGATGTGAGAGCCAGGGAACTAGCTCTGTCATTGAAGTGCTTGCTGTGCAAGTGTAAGGACCTGAGTTTGAACACCAGCACCTATGTAAGAAAAGCCAGGCATGGTGACAAGCACTTGTAATCCCAGAACTGGAGATTTGGAAACAGGCAGATCCTTGAGGCTCACTATCCAGTCAGCCTAGCCTAGGTCCCAAAGAGAGACAGTGTCTCAACAAACAAAGTGGACAGCTCCTATGGAATGACACGCAGGGTTGACCCCCCCACACACACACACACACACATACATGCATGTGTACATCCTTCCCCACAAGTTTAGCAAGGTAGTCAAGGCCAGATTGTCCATATTAACATCTCTTATCACAGTAGAGATCTCTTATCACAGTAGAGGTGTATGGTCAACAAAAAGGAGGTCAGAACAATTCCTGAGGCCTTCTCTTCCCTTGTCAGACCTCTTTATGAGCCCCTCCTGTCCCCTCTTAAAACCTGTCCCACTGATAAGGGCAACTTTCCCAGGTCCTGTGGCCAGTCAGTGAAACAGATGCCAGTCTTTCTAGAACCATGTAGAAAATGTCACCATGTCACCATTCAGGAAACACGTGCTGGTGTCACCTGGCAGCAGGGAGGAGGCAGCACGGTCCCCTCTTTCCAGCCACCTCCATTACCATGACACACATCTGGCAAGAGAACAGAGAAACCTTGTGTGAGGGCAGGGAAGTCATCTCTCCCCGTGCCTCCCCTGGCATGAGCAATACAAGTACAGTTCCATTCAGCACACACCAAAAGGCACAGTGTCCCATCTCTCTTCACAACCCAGCACACCAGGGAGACCCCCACGGGTAGCCATCTTCCACTCACGGTTCCCAGTCTGGGCTGTGTCCTTACTAATGAAATCGTAGTCCTGGAGGCAGGGGAAGCTTTGAAATTCTCAGGTTGTCCCAGCAAAGTGGAGCTCTGGTGAAGCCTAAAGGAAAATTCCAGCCTGGGGCAGAAACATACAGAATATGCAGCCAACAACAGTAGGGAGGTTTGTCACCTGGCTCAGGCCCAGGCCACAACTCCAGCGATGCATGAGGTGGCCAGCAGATAGGTGCTAGCTCATCATAGAGAAAGGTTAGAGACACCAGTCAGTATTCCAGGCAGAAGCAAGGCAGAGCAGGACCCTAACCTGTTGAATGGGGCCGCCATGTTCAGGACAAGCCTTCCTACTCAGTTGCTGTCTTAACTGCCAGTCACCTCAGTGTCCTGTGTTCGTTCCTTTTTGTTGCTGTGGTGAGGTATCTGGTGAGGCACACAAGGAGGGAGGGAACCGTGGTGGATTCCATGGCAGGCAAGGGTGACTGAGGCAGGGGACAAATGCGCTAGGCAAACAGAGCTTAGTGAGAAGCTTTATTAGAAAGGGACAGCGGGGAAAGGAAAGAGAAAAGAGGTAAAGAGACACAGAGACAGAGACAGAGAGGACAGAAGAGAAGAGGGAGACAGGGGAAGGCCTGTCTGCCTCAGGGGAACAGCAGGAAAGAGAGCGTTAAGTGTGTGGGGTCTTTCTTTTAAAGGGTCCTTTGCACCTGCGTGCTGACCAGAGTACTGCCTGAGTGCATTCTGCCAGCTGACAGGAGCAGGCCATCATAATGCCTGAATCCTTACAAGGGGTCCCTTTTAGCCAAAGTTTGAAGGAACAGTCCATTACAGCAGTATGAGCTTGAGGAAGCAAGCCCCACTGCAGCTGCAGTCAGGAATGCTGAGATTAGAGAGAGAGGAATAGAGAGACTAGAGACAGGAATACTGAGACTAGACTAGAGAGAGGAATGGAGAGAGACTAGAGACAGGAGTGCTGGTGCTCAGCCCACTTTCTCTTTTTCTTTCTCTCTCTCTCTCTCTCTCTTTCTCTCTCTCTCTCTCTCTCTCTCTTTTGTTTTGTTTTTTGATGTTGTTTTTGCTTTTTGAGACATGATTTCTCTGTGTAAGAACCCTAGCTGCCCGATTTGTAGACCAGGCTGGCCTTGAACTCCCAGAGATCCAACAGACCTCCACCTGCCTCTGCCTCCCAAGTGCTGGGATTAAGGACATGTGCCAACATGCCTGGTTCACTTTATCTTTTTCATTTAGAAATTCAGCCTGTGAAATAAGAGTACCCATATTTAAAGGGTGTCTTCCTACCCAGTTATCCCAATCCAGGAACCTGCCCAGAGATTTGTTTCCATTGGTGATTCTAAATCCCATCAAGGTGGCAGTCAAGATGAGTCATCAGTCTTCAAAGCCACACACAGAAGTGAGCTTCACTAATCTCCCAAGCATCTTTTACTTTAGTTGAGTTGGTTTAGTTTAGTTGAAAGCCTCATAGGGGGCTTTCTGGCAAGTCAGTAGCCACCCATCCCATCCATCCACTAGGCGTTGGGTTCTTCCACAACGGATAGCCCTATTGGGAGTCTCGATGCAATGCTGAGAGAGATGGTGGCTTGTTGAAGGCTACTTGGAGGAGAAAGTAACTCATATTTGGGTGTTGTCTGCTATGTACCTGATCTAGATCCCTTAGTTCTGGTGTGTGCTGTAAAATCCTCCCAGCTCTTCCCTCCACCCCTTTCCCAGGGTCTGAGGAAGTAAGCAGTAAGAAATGGCTCATTCTCTGGTTCCTAGTACCGTGGACTTGTTCATCTGTGTACACTCCAATGACTGCATGATGAGCCTCAGCCTTTGAGAACTTAGGTGCTGCCAACACCCGCCTTCACCTTGTGGGAAAGTCATTGGTGTTATAGCATAGCCCTTCCCATTTAGGTTTGTCTGCTCTAAGAGACAGAGGAGGCACCGTGGAAGAAATCAGACTATGTCCTTCCACCCCCAACAAAGAACTGCCAGGCCCCTGCTCTGACTCTTCAAAGCACACAGCATTGTGGGAAAGGCAATGTCCCACTCCCTTGCAGCTCCATGATAAATTCATGCATCTCCCTGGTGCTGATGCCTGCCCCTGTTCCCCTTTGCTTGCAGGCTAAGCCATAAGTTACACGGTGTGGAGCTTCCTGCCACCACACATCCCACCCTAGAAGCTCTGAACCAGAAACTCTCCTTGTTCATGGGATTTTGAAAGTTCTTTTGTTCAGGCCTGATTATGCTGTACATGGTAGCAGTCTCTACTAATGCAACTCCCCAGTTTTGAAGGGAGGACTCTTTCCTCTCTCCCTTCAAGACCCCTTCATGGCATCTCTAGTATAAGCGCTAGCTCTCCTAATCTCCTCCTTCAAGGCCTGGTCATGGCCCCTTGTGGTCAGTCTGTCTCCGTGTCTGTCTCTCTGTATCTCTCCCCTGCTGCCAGCCCCCATAATGCTCATCTGAAGGGTGACCTCATTTTAGCTCCTTTCCCAAACCTACATCTTCAAGTTAGAGCAGAATGGGCTTAAGAAGTGGAACCACAAACCGGACCCTGGTTCCTTTACCTCAACTTGTTGCCTGGGGTCTGATGATCAGCAAAGCTGCCATGAGGACTAAATGACGTAGCACCTGTTGCAGAAGCTAGAGGGCTTCCTGAAGTAAACACTAGTTCATTTTCCTACTATGCAATTCTCTCGAGTTTTGTGTTCATAAGAATAAGAATAAATACGATCTGATAAAAACAAAGTGTGTTTGAGGTTGCTAAGATTGACAGCAAACTGGCTGAAACCCTTGGGTTGGGGATGGCCAAGAGAGTAAATGGGCATAACAATGAGTGATGGATCGGGAGGGTGAAGTGTGGTGATCAGGAGCTCGCTCTCAGAGCTGCCGAAGTGTCATGCTCTGAAGCTGTCAGGGTGTCAGCCGGCTTTGTGGTCAGGAGCATGACTCTTCATATGATGCTCACATGAATGCACTGGCTGACGTTCAGGGACGAGGGCCAAGCCTTGTGCTCTTTCTGATTGATTTTTTCTTTATAGAAGACTTACTGGATGGTGTTCTTGAATCCGATGATGATGAAGATGAAGATGATGAAGTAAGTTGAAGGCTCTTGAAACAACACAGAAATCCCTCATACTCAAACCCCTCCGTGTCCCTTCTGTGTCCTGAACACTTAGGCACACATGGTGTCTTCCTTACAATGTGCCTATCCTTACAGTTCTGGGGTTAGTGGAAACTTGGTGTGCTGTCCTTCGATAGCCCTCACACGAGGCCTCTTGTGGCTACCCTCATCCTCCACACCCTCTCTCCAGGTGGCTGGCATCTTCCAGTGCTCCAGCATGGACGTTTTATAGGTCAGAAGCTGAGCTCCCAGAGGGAAGGAGCAAGTTTCCCATCCTCTCTGGGCTCCCAAGTCTTAGCACAGTCCTCCTGCGGCATTTGGCTCAATATACATCTAAGCCCAGTCCAGACTGGGGCGTGGACATGGACCCCATGACACCTGTACACTTCACAGATGCAGCTTTGTACCTCCTGTGGCTTCTAGGGGAAGGTGAAAAACCATAGTTCTTCTCTGTGAGTTTTTTGCTCTGAAGGGCTGTGAGCCCTTGCCTATCTCCTTGGAAACAGGAATGCTCTGGACAAGGGGTCCTGTCTGGTTTGGAGCTGGCAGAACCAACCACTTCACTTCACTGTCCTATTTTCATTCTTTTGGTGTAGGTTTGCCAGCTGTGACAAATCTAACCCTGGTCCCCAGAAGTTAGTTAGCACACCAAGTCTTGGTAAGGTGGGTAGAAGACAGTAACTTGGAGGCCGTAGGCAGCAGCTAAGATGTCAAGCTTCTTTGTGGCTTTCACCTCAGACCTAGAAAGGACAGACATGTTATCCTATCATTCTGTGGTGACAACATGACCCTTCTTCGTTCTATGTGTGGGGAGCAGTTAGGGCAGATGTGAATACTGGGAGCATCTTCTCTGGGAATGGATGCAGGAAGATGGATTTATAGTTGTGGTTCTGCTCTGTCAGTTTACAGACTGCTTGGTAAAAGCCAAGTTTGTGTTCCCCAGAGGCATCAGTGAGGCCATGGTTATTTAGGATGTGCCAGGTAGCTAATTTCCCCTGCAGCCCAGTTCCCTCCCTGCCATTCCTCTTCTGGGCTGCAGGTGGCACCAGTGTGCACTCTTGTTTCTCAGGCCTGTTGGGTCAAGGGAGCCCCAGATCTAGCTACTGTCCTCTCCATAGGGGACAAAGAGCAGCCCTGTGCCACAAGGAAAGCTGCTGTGGTAAGACTTGGCTTAGCACAGTCAGCAGACTTTATGTAAAGGGGAAGGTTGGCAGTGTGTCAGGTTGAGAGGGCCACATGGTCTCAGTTTGAACCATTCAATTCTATCCTTTAACACACAGTGGCTTTGGGGAAAACAGGCTGTATTCCCTGAAACACTAAAAATTAGAAAACTATATCATTTTCATGTCATTTAATTTTTTCCAAATATTTAAAAGCATAAAGTTCATCCTCTCAAAACTAACAAACATGGGCACCTGCATTCAAGGCTGTTGCTGCCACCTAAGGTAGAGGCCAGCTGCTGGCCTCACCTGAGTAAGGCGATTTGTGCTTGACATTTTAATAGCTCTGAGTTAATCATTTCATTCTATTAACTTCTTGTCACCTTATCCAAAAAACGTTCCTCTCAAGTTCTGTTCTTTCCCCCACCTGTGTCATCTTTGGGGACTTTGGGGGTTTTTGTTGTTGTTGTTTTTGATGGTTTCTTTTATATTGTGTAGAGACCAGGGTCTTGGTTTCCCAAGTGCTAGAATGGTAGCCATGCCTGGCTTGTTCAGTTGTTTGGCCACTAATCCTTTACTTTTCTATTATAGCAGGGATTCATTTGGCCCAAGTGTGCTGGTTAATACAGGGACTTGACTTGTGCACATCCTCCGTGGCATGCAGCAGTCTGCTGCAGAGCACGCATGGACCCAGGGCTCGGGATTTGCTGCTTTTCCTCAGGGTTTTACTTTCAGCCTGGTCTTAGTCAGGCCTTCTGCTGCTGTGACAAACTGCAATCAAACACAGTCTGCAGAGGAGAAGGCTCATCTGGGTTATGGCTTCCACATCACAGTGCATGATCCAGGATGTCAGGGTAGGAACTCTAAGAAGGATCCAAGAGGCAGGAACTGAGGCAAAAGCCATGGAGGAGTGCTGCTTACTGGCTTGTTCCTCATGGCTTGTTCAGTTTGTTGAGTTTTTTGGTTTTGTTTTATTTTGGTTTTTGTTTTTTTGTTTGTTTGTTTGTTTTTGTTTTTTTGAGGCAGGGATTCTCTGTGTAAAATAGCCCTGGCTGTCCTAGAATTTGCTTTGTAGACCAGGCTGGCCTGAAACTCACAGAGATCTACCTGCCTCTGTCTCCCAGGGCTCTGGATTAAAGGCTGCACCACAATTGCCTGGTCAGTTTATTTATTATACTCTCTTGGACCACCTGCCTAGAGACAGCACCACTCACATTGGTTTGATCTAGACCCTTCCACATTAGTCATTTAAAAAAAAAAAAAAAAAAAAGTGCCACAGACCTGCCTACAGGCCAGTCTGATAGACACATCTCTGTTGAGGTTCCTCTTTTCAGATCACTCTACTTTGTGTCAAGTTGACAAAAAAACCAACCAGAGCTGAGGGTGGTGTCTGAAAACATTTGTCACAGTAACTAGGCTTCTCAGAATTTCCTTAAAGAGGTTTTATAAGAAAAACAAAAGAACAAGGTCAAAAGTGACACTGATGACTGGAGCCAGCATGTCCCTGGCTTCCCTCCTCAGTGACCCTCACAGTGAGCTGGCACGTGTTAGCAGGAGCCATTTATGGACAGTCTGCTGGGTCTGCTTTCACCAAGGCCGGGTACCACTTTCTTATTGGCAGAGAGCAAGAAAGAGTGGCAGGTGCGGCTGAAGTCTAGAAGTACTCGAGTAGCAGTGCTGCCATCACCTCTCACGGTGACAACCCTGAGGAAGACAGACAGAAGTATTGTCAGTGCACCAGAATCGAACCTCTCTCACTTTGTAGTACAGGAAGTTTTTTAGATTTGTATTTGGACCCAGTACAATGGCTGAAGTCACTTGCACTTGGCAGCTACAGAGTGGTGGCTGTGCAGAGTGACCCGGGCACCACACGAATCCTGCTGGCCTTGCTTTACACCGAGCTGAGATCTGTGTATGCCCCCTTCTGCCTCACTGCAAGTCCTTAAGGGGACTCAGATGCAAAATCTAGTTTTCCTTCCATGGGTCTCAAAATGCAACTGTATCTAATGTGTTAAAGAAAAAAAAAACAAAACTCGGTGCTTGCTTCCGCAGCAAATATACTAAAATTGGAACGATACAGAGAAGATTAGCCTGGACCCTGCGCAATTCGTGAAGCATTCCATATTTAAAAAAAAAAAAAAGAAAGAAAACCTCAATTATGTTGAATAGCCACCCATTTATAACTAAAAATTGAAATTACAGGCCATTTGGGGACACTGAGATGAGAGCAAACACAGCAGGGTGTGGAGGTGCTAACTCTCAGGAAGGAAGCTGAGGCAGGAGGATGTTGAATTCAAAGCCAACATGGGCTACATAGTAATACTTTGTCTCAAAAAAATTCATAAAGTTAAAGTGAACAGTGCTTAAAACAAAGCAAACATATAAATCCGCAGGCCTGAGAGTTATAGATTCATGTGCCCATGCAGCAGAAAGGTGTGGGAAGCCACACCCTTTTTATTGACAGGAGGGGGAGAGGAATGAGGAAGTGTGGGTGGGAGGTCCAGCAAGGGAGAAGTGAGACAGGAAAGTGGACGTGGCAGGGCTGAAGCCATCTGTCCAGTTTGGGGCCACAGGACAGTAAACTGAGAAGCAGGGCACAAGAAAACGGCAGTACTCAGTATATTCCATTCTTCACACGGTGTGGGCACATGCAGAAAAAGGCAAGGATGAAGGCCATTTGAGTTTGGTTTAAAATGAGAAAAAAACTAAGCATATCCATCCACGGCTGGCTGCTGGCAGACATGAGACTGGACAGACAGTCAAGAATGGGAAAGGAAGCCTCAGAGGGGTTTCTCTACATACCTAGGCCAGGCTGGCCTCAAACTCACAGAGATCCTCCTGCCTCTACCTCCTGAGTGCTGGGATTAAAGGCTTGTGCCACCACTGCCCGGCTCTCATTATCTTCTAAATTGCTTCATGGGGGCTGAATGTGTAGATCAGTTGGTAGAATGTTTGCCTAACATGCACAGAGCCCTGGGTTCAATCCTCAGCACCACAGAATCCATGCTTGGTGCTATGCACCTGTAATCCCAGCACTCAGCGGGTAGAAGCAGCAGATCAGAAGTTCAAGGTCATCCTCCTTGATAACATAGTAAATTTAATGTTGGCTTGGGGTACATGAGACCCTGTCTCAAATGAAAGAGAAAGATGGGGGGGGGTCCATAAATAACTTGCTTCTTACATTCTTTTGGTCCATAAGGCTCCAGGCCCATTTATTTTCCAGGGAAATAAAAGCAGCGTTCTATAAGCTTTGGAAATGCATTGGAGAGAATTCGCAGTGCCAGTCAGCGGCTGGGCAAGGGTTCAGATGCTCCCATCGAGTGCTTGGACGAACACTGCTATCTCATGTGCTTTATTTTTATGATTAACATGAGCATGGTGTTGCTTAGGGGCTGGAAAAAATCCCAAGGGCCAGCTCAGTTCCAATGACCTCATCCCCAAGGAGGTTTCCTTGGTGTGTGCTCAGATGAGGCTGGTGCGTCAGCTTACACATGGCTTTAAGTGGAGAGAAAATGCCTTCCTGGACTATTTAAGAAGACTGATTTTAAAACAAATATTCTCTCCCTCTTAGCAAAGTAGGTTTTAGTGCCAAGAGCTGTCAGCCATGTACATTTGCTTGTAGGATCCATGTGAGTGACCCACAGTTTCCTTCCGTCCTACCTGTCCTTCATTATGTACTGAGCAAATATTTAAGGACCTTGAAGTAACCATGTTCTAGGAAATACAGGAGGGATTAAAAACAAAAAGATTCCATGAGACTATCTGTGACTGTCGGTGCCTCCACAGAGGGCGTGGTCCATCCCCATGCCCGCT